CTTTTTATATAACTTATGATATTATTATATGATTTACGACTAGAGTACCTATGGTACTCTATAACTATGATTTCTTATAATAATATAAGTTCTAATATGATTATATGATTATTACGGATTGATTTACTATTTATATATATGTGATATATACTTGACATTCCTCTGATTTATCACTAATGTACTTCTGATGTATAACTAATTGATAGCTATTGATGAAAATGTATGTCTTCGTTTTTTTTTTCTTTCAAATGAAAACAAATGTCGTCCAAACAAGAAAAATAAAATCTAAAGTCATTGCAGAAAAATTTGTGGACTATCTACCATGTCCTAAAAGAAAGCCTAGACCAACACCCGAAGCTATTGTCCTTATAGAAACGAATAATCATCGAGAAAGAGAGCTGATCTCGATCAACCTAGCTTTTATTTGAATATTCCGAAATAATGAATACTCATTTTCACTCACGCTTACCAATGACAATGTCCTTAGTAGCATGGATATGACAATCAACTTTTAGTTTGTTAGGAGATTATAATACAATTTCTTCAAGTCTTATGAATGATATGATAATGATTTTTTTTTAAGTAAAGCATTCTGAATTTAGTCATTTGTTTGCCAATTTGTTGATATCACAGTGATTTCTTATTGATTTACTATTGATATAACACTGATATATATTTATTATATACTTGATACATCTCTGAAATATTACTGATATACAGATTTACCCGTGATATAATTATGATATCTACTAAAAAAATGAATCGGTTGCACAAACCAATCAATGTCCTCAATTGATATAGTCTCTAATGTTATCAACTTTAATTTGATTTACACAAGTCATTCAATGTTATCAAATAAAGAAACTTATTCATTGTAAAATTCAAAAGTGTAAGAAATATTTGATATGCATATTTGACACACTATAAAGGTATAATTATAAGTAGCTACTAAACCTAAGATATACATCATTGTTCAACCGGTACAAATTTACAAGTTCTATGATTGTGTCCAAGATGCTGATTACGGTATCATCTTGTGTGCTTTCTGTTCTCACCAATTTAATGAATCTTTTTTTTTCGAGGCCTTCGAGCTGGAAACAAACAATAATGGAATTTTTTTTTTTTTCATATGTGGAAGTAACGAGGTGACTAGATTGAGGTGATGTGTCATTTTTAAATGAGTTGGCTAAAAATAATACTTTACTGTATATTTTGTTGAGGTGGCATTCTCTCTTCTCTCTTCTCCCTCTTCCCTCCTCTCCTTTTTCCTCTCATTTTTATCGTCTTGCCGGCGCCCTCCCAGCCGCCGTTGTTAATTAGGTCAAATAATTTAATCTTGAATTCATAAATCGAATTGAAATTCACCCCACCAATCCAATTATATTGGATTAGGGATTGGAATTGAGATTGAGTTCAGATGGGAACAAATAAGAGAGAGAAAAGGGATTTGATTTGGAATGAAATTTTTGTTCAAGATTTGGTTTGATGGTGGTCGTGCCGCAGCGGCGGTTGGGGGTGACGCCGGCAAGTTAAGGGAAAAAACCAAGACGAGAGGGAGAAGAGAACATGCCACCTCAACAAGAAAAATAATACTTTTTAGCCAACTAAATTAAAAAATGGCACATCAGCTTAGTCTAGTCACCTCATCACTTCCACATCATTTTGTGACTAACAGTCAAATAATTAAAGTTGAATGAATATTTAGAATGATCTCACATTTGAGGTTAAAAGTGTATCTTTTAAAATTTCAAGGATTAAATAGATATCAACCTCAAACCTCGAGATCAAAAATGTATTTTTTCTTAAATTTAATAAATACAAATACTTTCTTCTAGGTTTCACAAATCAATGGATTTCTATTATAAAACAATTTACAACATAATCATAATTTCCATGATTCTCAATAACTAAATCATTTGCATAAATATGAATCATTTTGAATCAAAATTCACTAATTACTTCCGTAGTGAAAATATTTCATAAAATAAGCACTTACAAATTATTAACATGAGATTTTGAGTTGTAAGTCAATCCGAACTCCACTCGACTTGAAATTAATTTAAACAATAGTATAAATAAATCCTTAATCATATACTAAGACTCAATATTTATTTATCTCAAAATCTTTATTCTTTCTGCTAAGCCACCATGTAATCAAAGCCATTATCTATATGAGGGCTCTAACAAACTCCATTAAAATAATATTTTTCATTTACGATCTCACTGACTAAATGTCCTTTACTTGTAATTAACACTAGTTTCTAACAAAGAAGTCAAGTTTGAATCCTCCCACCCACAGGTACTTATTGTACTAAAGAAAATGTCATTTTAAAAACTAATACAAAATAATATATCTCTCTCCTGTCTAAGTTATGCCATATTTAGACCTTCTCTTTTCTGTTATTTCATGTTTTACTTTTTTTTTTGTCTTGTCACATCAAATAATTCTACTTTATTCTTTTCCAATTTTTTATTCTTTCTTTCCTCTTAATTTCCATTAATTTTCATTAGTCCACAAATTCAATCCACCTTTTTCTTTTCTCCTTCATGTTCTTTCCGTTGGACAAAAATAAATTGAAATGAACTAGTAAAACTGTGTCGTGACATTTCATAACATGATTTAAAAAGGAAGGAAAAAAAAAACATATAACCAAGGAAATGGTTAATTCCATCAACATATTCTTTATAATTATTATAGTCCCAACAGACGTTAATTATACTAAATAAAAGGAAACCGCTAAAATAAGAGTTAATTGTTTATTATTTCACATAAGAGGGAGAAATTAAAACAAGGAAATCACGTATTACACTGTAAAATTTAAGAAATTTCAATTCAAAATTTTTGCTTTTCAGATTAATGGTATAATCTTTTATTTTCCATTAGATATCCAATAAATTGGGTATCACAAAAGGCCTCATATTTAAACTTTTTTTTTTTTAGTAAAACATATTGGGAAGGAGATTTGAACTCACAACCTTTTGGTTGGAGGTATATGCGAACTGTACAACATAGTTACCACCTATCATACGGCTTTCTAACTTCACTTTTTTCTGGTTGTTCCGCTCTGTCGATAGATGGTAGTATAAGAGATATGTAACCCCCCGAAATTCTTTACATAATGGTTCCTGCTTTCTACCCATAGTTAGCATGTATCTCTCCGGGTCATCTTTGACGTATCATATCCGTCACCCTCATCCCGACTCTATCTTCCTTATCAGTGAACCGGAAATAGTGCATAGAGACTCTTCAATACTGCGGGGACGAGATGGCGTGACATACTACGATCACGTATAGAAGTGCTGCCCTTCGACTCGGCAATATGGAACCTCTCAACAGCTCCCGCTAGAACCAGCTACTTTGGCTCATATTTAAGCTTTTGAATTCATTGGTAATTTAAGCGTAATTTCTTTCTTACTTTTCTAAACAATCAACTTTTAGAGGAGAAAAGAGCTTATAAGATACTTAAAACTCCGAACTTCAAACTCCCATTTCGGATTTTTTGATCCATGCTTTTCGTCGTGACCTCTCCTTAATCAACCTTAGAGTTTCTCTCTAACGCTCTTCATCTCCCCTTCTCGAACCCCCTCTGTCTTTTCTCTTTTTCCTTATTTTCTCCGTTTCCCTTTCCCTCTCTTTCCTTTCTTTTCTGTGTCTTTGTTTATTTTATATCCCAAAGTGTTATATATATTAAACCTATCTCCATCTTTGTTCTCCTTATTTTATATATATATATATATATTTTTTTCTAAAAAAATAAAGACAAATGATCGATGTTATAGAAAAGATTAAATTACAATTAGGTGTGACATGCCCCCTACAAGTTATTTTCACGTCACAAGTGAAGTGATGATCATATGGAGAAAATTTCTGATATTAAAGAAATTATCGTACTTTCTTCCATTTATTACTTGCCACATCACTACTGTATTTAAAATGATGTGGCCGAATCCATTCCTTCCATTTATACAATAAATAAAAGGGATATATGGTATTTGGGTAGTACTCGACTTTTTTCAAATGACGAGATGTGCCCTTACAGTTGTTAATGCAGCTTTGTCACATCCAAAACTGAACCACACCCAATTCTTTTGCTCACTTTAAAGGATGCTCTCTCTTTCAGTGTAACATCCTTATGAAGCTCTACTGTATTATTCCACAGTTACCCATATTTGCCTTTTTCTTTTCATCATTTGTTCAAGGAATGTGAAACACAGCATGCTTCACACTTTCTTCTTTAACCTTGCCTTCTCTTTAGTTTTTTTGGGGCCCATTTTATAATATTTTAGACCTAGTTCATCAATTCTAATTTTCCAGAACATGTTTAGTAATTATTTATATTTTTCGTTTCTTATTTTTATGAAAGTATTCAAAAAGTTCACTAGAAATTTTGGAAACTAAAATAAAGCTTTCTTGTTCCAATTTCTAGTTATTTATTTTTTTTTTTCAAAACATAAATAAAAGCTGACTTATAAAATGTATAATGAATATTTAAAAAAGTGAATAAAATATAAAAAATTTTAAAAATTTAACTAAAAATTAATTTTCATATAAAAGTTTTACTTTATTTTAATTTAAAATTTTAGGACAATAAAAAACACCCAAAATAGTTGTCAAATATGTTTCTTTTTTCAATTTATTTTATTAAAACAAAAGGATCGAGAAACATGAAACATAGTTTTAGAAACACACCGAATAAGAAGGTTAAGTGAGCACACTACGTTTTAGAAATGAGAAACAAGAAATATAACACTAGCAAAATGGATAAAGAGTGAGATTTTAGCATACTTTTTCCGGTACGAAGAGAATAGTTGTATACTTGATCTCCAAGGATATGCCTAATTTGTTACTTTTTAATACCCTCTTTTTACATACACTATTATGTAATAATCTCAAACGATCAGTACTCTTGCCAAAGATCAAGAGCATATCTTGTTCAATATTGCTTAAACCACCATATCCATGGAATCCATTGCTATGTTTCATGGTGGCTCACCACCCAAACTTCCCTTGTATGCAACTCCCTCTGCCTCCCTGCGGATGGCTCCATGGCTCTGGTTCGACCTTAGCAAGTCACCCTTCCCTCGGCTCGTCAATGGCTCGACCGGTATCTCCATCGGGCCGACTAGGAACCCCAAGTTTTTAGCTCATTGCAAAAATATTGCACATTCAAGGGAGACGCAGTACTCAAATGCTAAACAAGACCCATGGAAGTCTCTGTTGAGCTTAGTGCCAACAAAAGCAGATAACAACTCACAGTTATCAACCATTGTTTCCATTAAGGTTATTTTAATAATAACATTGTTTTTTGGTTTCTCCGTTTTGATAAAATATATTACTTTTTAAAATTAGCTAAAAAGTATCATTTTTGCTGCAGAATGAGGCATTGAAGTTGGTAGTGGATAAGAAATACGATGTATTAGAGTGCCTTATGAGATGCTTGAGCAATAGGGGTGATACAAATGATGACGTGGAATACGAGGCTCGGGTGGCATATGTCCAATTTCTTATATATCTGGTAAGAAAAATGCTTATTGTATTTTGCTTCCTCGCTACTAAAAATTTGACAGTTATTCGTTAATTTTTTTCTTTAAAATACACAAAATAGAAAAAATATCTCTTTTTATATTTCTCACCCCCACCAATCAAAACTTTAATTTAAGTATTTCATCTCATAGACCTACTTATACCATTTTCTTTCACTTCTTGTTACTTTCTTTTCCATTATTTTTTCATTTATACACATTTAACTAAAAATATATTTACAAAAATTCAAAATACATTTTTAAAAATCATTTTTAAAGTTATAATTTAGATTTTGTAAAAAAATAGATAACAAGACAGAAAAAAACGCAGGATAGAAGTAAGTGTTTGTAAGTTTAATTTTCTACAAGAGAAAATCAAATACAAAATGATTATCAAAATAAAACATATATTTATATTCTCTCTGATAAATTTACATAATCGTCTTCTTAAATAGGATGAATACAACAAAGCTCTAGAATTTCTAGAGGAGGATGGCAGATTTCCAAAATCTGCATCATCTGATGCAAGACCTTGCCTTTACAAGGTTTCTCTTTTATTTTTTTCAGCAATATTAATAATAATACCATTTGAATTACTATATATATATCTATATATATATATATATATATATATATATATATATATATATATATATATATATATGCTAATTGTGTTAACATGTTGATTTAATTTTTATGTAGGCTGTGGTACATACCATGTTGGGCAAACATGATGCTGAAAAATGTTGGAATGCATACTTAAAAACCCTTAACAATGGCAACGTAAATGACACATTTTTAACTCATTCCAACAATAATACATATCCAGAGCTGTTGTTCTTGACCGATGCTAAAGCCCCATTGAAGTCACTATTGAGCTTAGAGGAAAAAAACTCATCGTTAGCGAAGATTATTCCCGCCAAGGTTCTTTCTCTCTTATCTTCGAAAACTATCGTAGGATATGATTTTCGAGATTAATGCTTAAAGAGTTACTTAATTGCTTCGAGAGTTCGTGTTTGATAGGTTTCTGAACTAGTTGAATATTCGTTTAATCCCGAGATTTTGGAGGCAGAATAAGGCATTGAAGGGAGTGGTGGGTGGGGGGTGCAAAAGAGCAGAACGCCTAATGAAAGATTTATGGGAGAAAGAGAAAGATGGGGAGGAGGCGTACGAGGCTCAGATGGCATATATACAAATTCTTATACATCTTGTAAACCATTTAACCATGCCCTTTTTAACTTGAGGGAATGATGTCCATTTTGGAAAAAAAAAGGACATCATATAAATA